CCCGAGGGTATAAATGATTTGTCTCATATTTTTATATTTTTTCCATTCGTAAAAATACATCAAGTTGCATGATCTTTCCAAATTTTGTTCGAGACAGATAATGTAAGTGGAAATAAATAATTTTCGTACTAAGAGCTAACAAAGATTGCAATACATATAATGAATATCAAGAAATTTAAGTTTTAAACGGAACTTCGAAAAATATGAAATGTTTGGAAGCTCATTTTTAATATGTTTTGAGGACATATTACAGAATGATTTCAGACTTCACATAACATTTATAAAAATTTTCTACAACATACCAGAGAGAGATTGCGGAAACTCGTAATATACTATAAAATGATCTGAAGGATTCCTGTCATTTTGTTTTGTTTTGGTGGCAAACTTCATAGCATCAGTGAGCTCACTTACATGTCACAACTAGACTTGTGTCAAATCTGAACATTTGAATTTTATGAACTTTCTTCAATATTTGTTAGCTCGAGTTTGGGCACTTTTTTCCATCCTCATTTGTATATTTTAAAATATTATCTGATGTATAAATAAAATTTTAAAAAAAGGAACTATGTCTTCTATGTAAGCATTTATCTAGCTAAAATTATTAATTGAGCTTGACCGTTACTTCTGAGTAACGTCGGACAGTCAAATCATAAACAACCGATATTATCAAAAAAAATGCAATTGTGCAGTCAATCCTCGTTAGAGATTATATGGCTTTCTAAAAATTTTAGATTACGAAGTGTGTTTTAGTTTGTCCCTCTTATATGCAAAACTTTAATTATTCTGAATTGTATGCATTGCCTGCTTAATAAATTATTTATAATTTGCTATCAAGAGAATTTTTCCAAGTAATAAACTACTAAAACACAGATTTTTTTCTAAAGATGTTTGACATATACATATATCTGTGCTCCACTATAACCAGACAGTGAACTTTTCCTTACAAGTCTTAAGATTTTACGTTTAGGTAATCCGTACATTAAGATGAATATCAAATGAAAACTATAAAATGATGTCTAATTTTCACCTTTATTATTTTTTTTCTGCAAGGATTCAAAGTTAGAAACAAATTATTGATGATAACCTGTTTCAGGCTTTTGAAGAGTAATTAATCTATAGCAGATTTATACAATCCATAGTTAATAATTGTATCAAGTATATGAAAAAAAATTATTGTCTTGTTTTTGCTAAACAACATTATAATGGAACATCGACTTTTTATTGTGCTAATTTGCAGTTTTCGATAGTCGAAAACTTCATTTCCAGGAATTTTCGAATACGGGAAGTTGAATAAGTGCAGATAATCACTATGAAATGCCAGCTAAATGTGCACAAAATATTAAGTTATTAGTAGCAATCATTAAAAGAATTGCTTCAAGTTCCCTTCTCTGTCTACTGTGGGATGAGGTGGGTCCAAATTTCTACCACTATACACTTCAACACTCCTTTTAGATCGTGTTTCACAAAAGCGAAGGAGCTCATCTCGTAGTTAAGAGTAAGAAACTTCTTTTCTATAACATCGGTTTTTGTAATGCCAATAAATTTAAAAAACTGTAGCCCAATTGATTTTTAATTGCTCATTGCTGCCCACTCCTCAAAATAACTTAGCTTGAAAGCAGCCCATGACTTAAAGATTCCTGGCTACGCCACTGCCTGTGACATCCACATACATGCAGTTTTATGGAGAATCAAATGCTGCATCGCTCAGAAAATATCCAGTCCAAATCTATGAAAAATAGAGAAAATATTGCGAAAAGACGAAGATTCTCATTCATTGCAGGCCATCCTTCAGTCTTAAGAAAATCAAGTTTGATTTCGGATTCCCTACCACTCCCCACTCCTTAAAAACCAATGTTCGACTATCACAAAATATCGAACAATCGCTTCTCCAACTAAGAAATGTGATTTCAATTTTCGATCAATCAGTTCATAGGGAAACCGATCAAAATTATCCATTCTTCAAGCTATCCTTTTGGAATTCAGAATGACTTTATTTCACTGTCTAATAATGTAAAGCATAGAAATATGCTTTTGCTCATATCTATATGGAATAAATAGCTAAATATATAGGGTGGCTCAAAAGTCGGTTTACCGAAAAAAAACAATTGAATATTTCCATTACAGCTCCAGAAAATCAGCTGATTTTTTTTTTCAGTGTTAGAGGCATTTTTCAGCTTTATATCTATAAAGAGATACCTAGAGAGACTCTTTGATAAGTATATCTTTCTTTTTTCCTATCTGTGATAAAGTAAAATTTTTTTTGTTAAGGTCAATAGTTATACTTAACAAACGATTTCTCTGGGCATGTCTTTATAGATATAAACTTTGAATATACTTCTATCATTGATAAAAAAATTAGCTCATTTGCCTGAGTCGTAATGGAGATATTCAATTTTTTTCGGTAAACCGACTTTTGAGCCACTCTCTAGAGAAGAGACTTGACACAAATGGCACTGCATTTAAAGTCCAGTAGTTCAATGAGTTGATGTAGCAAACTAAAACCCACACTGGATACCCAAACTCAAACGCAAACTCATGTACCCAAACCCAAACTTCCAAACAGTTTGAGTTTGAGTTTGGTGCATGCCTAGTGTGGAGTGTCGGTGTCAGGTGGATGAGTCTGAGCATCTAGCAAGTGAGAAAAAACACACCCACATCCAACTCGCATCCACGTTCACACCATCCATACTCACACTTGCAGTCACGGTCCCGCTCTCAGTGTTTTGAGTTGAAAATTTTATCATGAGTAAAATTCATAGAGATATACAGTCCTGGTCATAAGTCCCTGGATGTGTGATATTTCGGCAAGACTTGGATAATTTTCCATGAAATTTTTACCAGAGATAGTGTAAAAAACTGAGATCGCAAACATCGACCTAAGCTCTATCGATTGAGATAGTATGAAGTTATGATTCCAAGACTGATTTCACTTCTGTTTATGTGTAACCCAATATTCACAGTTTTTGTAAAAAGAAAAATCAAAATGCTAGAAGTTTTATTTAATCTCTAAGTTGTTTCTTATCTTGTTAATGTTAACTGATTTCGCGATACAGGAATACATAGTGGACATTTATTGTTCAATATAGGCATTTCTGAAGAAAAGCCGACTAACATTAACAAGCTAAGAAACAACATAGAGATTAAATAAGACTTCTAGCATTTTGATTTTTCTTTTTACAAAAACTGTGAATATTTGGGCTACACGTAAACAGAAGTGAAATCAGTCTTTGAATCATAACTCCATACTATCTCAATCGATAGAGCTTAGGTCGATGCTTGCGATCACAGTTTTTTACACTCTATCTCTGGTAAAAATTTCATGGAAAATTATCCAAGTCTTGTCGGAATATCACACATCCAGAGACTTATGGTCAGAAGAGTATAATAATTAGTTCATGAAAATTCATGCAGAGCATATTTATTCTTCAAATAACTAATTGTTTCACTATTGTTTTGAAAGTTATTATCATCCAGATAACACTTCGATACACAACTTGTATCAATAGACTTTCTTTGAATATTGATGGGTATTAGAAATAGTTTAGAATCAAAAACTATTATCGAAACATCAATACAAAATAGATTTTCCAAGGTGGGCTCCATTAATATCCGGATGCACTGAGGCGACTTCCACCCATTTCTGACGCCGTCACTAGTTGAGCTAGAGAAAATCATTATCAACATCAGTACTAAGAGCATGCTCATTTGTCTATACTCTTCGGCGTTTCGCTTGACTTTTTCCTTTGTTCACTTTTCTTACAAAAAGTCTTCAAGAAGTATCGGGATGAGATTTGATACATCGCATTGTCTTTTCGTGCGAGAACAAAATTTGTTCTCTCTGACAAATGAAGATCGCTTCGATGTTTACACTAAAATATATATATATATATATATATATAGCCGGATTGCACCCAAATACATAGGTCTGATCTCGGAAGATTTCTTTTCTATGACGATGTATTTTTCTCGAATGATTTCAATAAAAGTAAAGGAGATCATCTTCGTCATTGCTTTCGAAGGAGAAAAGTGAAAAAACAAAACGAAAGAGAGTGAGATCAGTCTTTACTGCGTAAATGGTTTGATTATGGTGATTAAATGCATCCACTTGCATCTATATGCTTATTTTCTTGTTCTTATCTTCTATCTTTTTTTTTCTTTCATCCATTATTACCTGTGTTTTGTCACATGTTGTTAAAAATGCAGCATTATAGCTTACAGTCATATTGATGCATTCATATTCATATGATTATATGTGTTTTTTGCAGTCATTCTAAATCACATTTCGATATCCTTGTGTAAGCACTTCGACGTGTAACAATAAACAGGTAAAATATGAAAAAAAAATCATTTTTTATTGTTTTCTTGAATATAAACTTGTAATTTAATATATTCAATGAAGATATTAGAGTGACTTACTTTCTCTCTAAAGAAATACACAACATGTCGATAAATTAACATTTTTATATGATAATTGTTTGTTTTTTTTTTTACCTAGATAAGTTTAATTTCAACATGAATCTATTTCAGAGTCTATTACAATCAAAATTCTTTTCTATAAAAGAAAAAAAGCCTTCTATGGATTATATTTCATTTGCTGTTTTTTTTTTCAAATGTTGATTCCACAATAAAATTTTCGACAAACAAAAAAAAAAGACAGAGTATATGCAAAACATTTCTCATTCATTTTTCCTTTTTGATTACTTACTCTCTTATTTTGATAAGTATATTTTTTTGATTTTTTTATTCTTCTCTCGATTTTGTTCTATTCACCAAAAAAAAACCAAATATGAAGCTGCATTCTGTTCTTCTTTCTGTCGTTTTTTTTGTTGATTGCATCAATACATGAAAACTAATGGTTGATACAAAATACTTTGAACGTGTCAAAAAAAATATTTTAGATAGCAAATCATAATAAATTTGGTGTTATTGGTATGCTGGTTCATGGCAAAATTGAGATAACTCAAAAATCTATTGATTCTGATCATTTAGATCGAAAAAATATGGAATATTTACCATATCCTGATGATAATTTTAATGAAATTATTGATAATTGTTTTCAACGAGGTTTGTATACATAGGTTTTTGTATTTCTACTATCTATTTGAGTTTTTTTGTTATTTAGGTGATAAATTTACTCTTGAATATATACGTCGCCGTACTGGACAAGCATTTGTTCCTAATGTTCGAGTTCATGTTAAATCAATTGTAGCTAAACGTACAGATAAATGTTCTACAGCATTTATTGATCCATATTTGTAAGTTTAACTAAATAATATTTTTAAAATTATTAAAATGATATTTTTAATTATTTCTAGATTTTGTATAACAGCTCAGCATGGACTTAATAAATGGACTATTTATAAACGTTATCGACATTTTCAAGATTTACATCAAACATTGATGAATTTCGTGAATGAAGAAAGAAAAAAATCAAACAATGATTTAGATATGTATGTATGAAAATAGAACAAGATTGTATTTTAAATCTTTTCTATAAAAAAAAAAATAAGATTCGACATGCTTACAGTATAGTGTCCTCTGATGGAGTCCGGTACTGGACAGCAGATCCATTGCAGAGAATGAATCCGGGTATTAAGTCACTGGGTGTTATAACTGGATAAGTTTTATTTATTTTTAGTATATCACCAATATAGAAAAATAGTATGTTCATCAAAACGATTATATATTCTGAAAGCTGTCGGAATTTTCTATCATCCTATGCAATCACATTTTAGTTTGTACTCAATGTAATAGAAAATAAATCGACTGCAATGGAGATTTTCTCATCATCAGATTCGATCATTGCTATCACAATCAGTTTTTTATTACTATAGAAATACGTTTTCAAAAAAAAAGTAGTTATATATATCGGATGTGCTAAAAGTTTTGCGACATTTTGAAAAGTTTCTATTTGTTATTCGTTTATTAAGATAATCGTTTTATTTTATATAGTTTAAGTATACACTGATGCTCTTTATCATTCTGATACAGTGATATTTTTTTTTCGTTGATTTTGCAATGGTGAAAAGGGACGATCTTCGAGATCTAGCTTTGTCCCATTACAAGAGTGAAAAAAAAGCTCCAGAAATTGTACTAAATTATTGGCAAATAAGGTTCATCAAAGTACGATTGATTGTTGGCTACGTTGGTATAAACAATCTAGTAGTTTAGTCGATATTAAGCTGAAATCAGAAAGACCAAGAACTGATCGTACAAAATAAAACTTATGTATTTGGTGAAAAAAATCAAGTGATTTAAATAAAAAAAATGTTATCGAAAAATTAATATTCAAAAGTTAAAAGAAAACTAATAAGAAAATCATGTTGCTAATGGATGAAGAAGAACATCAGTCGTAATAAATTTAAAAAAAATAATGTTTACCGATAAAAAAAAATTTACCAAAAAGGGATTTTTCAATCCAACAAAAAAAAATAATGTTGTTTGGGCTGATAATCGATCTGATGCTAATGAATGTGGTAGACTAGATAAAATGGAAAAATATCCGGTGAGTATCATAGTTGTATTGGGTGTAACATGGTATGGCCTTACACATCCATACTTTTTTCAAAAAGACGAACACCTAAATGGCGAAAGCTATTATATATTCAATTGTTAACGAAGGTGATCGGCTATTTCAATACAAAAATTGGAGCAGTCATCCTATTCCGCAATGTTACACATTCCGGAATCAGTTCCGCCCGCGGAATCAGTTCCACCAATTCCGGAATCCATTCAGCCTAATTCCGGAATTGTGCCCGAGACGGAATCGGTAGGAATTCCTAGGAATTCCCGGGAATTCCGTCTAATTCCCACCGATTCCGGAATTGGTAGGAATTCCTCGGAGTTCCGTCCAATTCCCACCGACTCCGTATTTCATGGAATTCCGGAATTGGTAGGAATTCCGGGGAATCCCTACCGATTCCGTGTGCGATGCAATTCCGGAATTCCGTAACGGAATTGGGTCGTGTTTGGAAAGGTATTAGTTTGCAACACAAGGCAACAACTGAGGGTGAGGGAGATGGTGTGATTCCATCACGGAATGCCGGAATCGATAGGAATTAGGTTCTAGGAATTCTAGAATTGGTGGGAATGAGGTTGTTGGGATTCCGGAATTAGATGAAAGGGTCATTATAGGAATTCCGGAATTGAGGGAACTGATTCCGAGGGCGGAACTGGTTCCCGCAATGTGCAACATTGCGGAATAGGATGTATTCTCAAAAATTGGGGCTTTCAACAGGATTTGACGAACTCTCATACTGATCAAAAGGTTCAAACGCTTCATACCGAAAACAAACCCAGATCCAATAAAACGGTGTCATAAACGGTCTGAAACGGCGACTAACGATGTAGAACGTCGATAAATGGCGCCGTAATCCGTCATACCAGATTACGGAAGCAAAAATCGGGAAAAAACAACGGCCGTTTTCTAGCGATAGAAACAGCTTGTAATACGGTATGACGAATTACGGTGAAATAAGGCCAAAATTAATGCAGTAATTCGCCGTTTTATAGCCGTTTCAGATCGGATAAGAAGTCGGTTCTGACGGCTGGAATGATCGACCTGGGAAATGGCCATCAAATCCATTGGATTATTCAATCTGGGATAATATCTCAAATCACGTGGAATATCACAAAGTCAAAATTGCTTTCGTTCAACAAATACGTTCAATGGAAGAACACGATGGTGAACTGATTTTAGATGAACATAGTTGATTCTACTAGTAACCTGATTGTGATAGCAGTGATCACATTCGATCAATGGATATCTGGTGATGAGAGTATCTTCATTGTAATATTCGATATTATTGGCAAAACTTTTTAAGAAGTTTAAAAAAAACAGAAGTGTACAAGGGTGTTGTGATTTCTTAGTATTGCTCGAGGCAATATCATGTAGAACTTAACATTATTACACAAATCTGTCTCTATTCTAATTGTTTTGTGCATATTTTATACAAGAACAATAAGTTATGTAATTAGTTAAGAATTATTGGAACTCTTCTAGACTATTTAAAGATAATATGAACCGATCGATTCTACATCAGTCATGAAAAGTACATAAAGAGCGATAGATAATGTCAAGAAAAATGAGTCCGACAAAAACTCAAGTTTTCGAATTGTATTTCGCATTCGACTCAATTCGAACTGGCCTTCGAGTTGGCTTGGATTGTAAGAGTCTAGTCTAAAAATAATTGATATTTTTCTAATAACAATTATTATTCGATAATTCCAAACGAATCGATTAAATTCATTTTGTAACGAACTTACATTTAAAATATTTGTCGTCTATTATGAAATTATTTGTAGTATTCAAGATAAAAATAATGAATATCCATATTTTCCAGCAACAAATGATCAAACTCCATTGACTAATGATTCTATTATTGAAGAACGTTGTGTAAATTATATATTGAGTTTTATTTTTTTTTTATTTTCTTATTAATTTATTTCTTTTCACGTAGCGTATTCTTGTCGATTATTTCAATAAAGTTCTTAGACATCCTAAATTTCGTGCACATCCAGCAATGGTATGAATTCATAATTGATAATTATTACTAATTTTGAACATATAGATTAATCAAATATTTAACATTCATGAGAAACTTCTTTGAGTTCATTTTCGTAGAAACTAACTTTTGCTAACGATAGTTTTTTCTCATTTCAATATCGCTGAATGAATTCATAATAAAAAAAAAAAAACTATCGAATCAAATATAATCTGTTACATATAAATTGGTAACCAAGTCAATGAAATCTGTTTCTTAGTCGAGAACACATAACACTAGATGAAGATTTCATCTATATTAATTTTTCTCTAAAGGGTTGTGCCGGTAGTATACTCATTCTATCGAAAAAGAAAAAAAAATGTCCAAGAATGTGTCAATTTTACTTCTAATAAATTTTATTTTTTTAAGTAAAATTTATTCAAAATATAGTTAAAGTTCAAAGTGCTGTACCTATAATGAAAGTTCTTTCAAATAATCACTTGTTCGACTAGTCTACTTCTACTAAATTCATGAACTATGGAAAAAAAAACGATAGAAATTATTAATGCTATTAGATCTCTAAGATAAACCAATGTTGTTTGAATATATTCCACTTTTTCAAGTGTATGCGGTCGTCATATATATGTGCCCATGTCGCAAAAATCGGATCATTTTTAGCGGTCAACCACGGTATTTGTTAAAACCAACGGTTAATTGCAGCAATAAGAGCCGGTAACTGGACCGGTTTTTATCACATGGGTGTACAGTCTGTCACAAATGTATCCGTGCAACTACCGTTACTTTCGTATATTTTTAATTTTTCAAGAATACAACCTAGAAATTTTCCTTGTTCCCAACGATCATCCTTTATTCTCTTATCTATAACTTTCACATATACTCTATGTCACATGCAATGAATGTGAAGGTAAAAGGCTGTTCGACAACATGAATATTTATAAATCATAACAAAATATGAAGAAAATACTACATAATCAATCGAATAGTTAGTAAATTGTAGCTGATATCTCGTCTAATTTCATTGTTGAAAACGTTAATAATTCAAAGACCACTGCGAATTACCTTTGCAGATTTAATATAATTTCGAAATTATCATAAAACTATGTTCTACTGGAATATATAAAAAGTTTTTTCTTCAATTTGCTGATGACTACTATTCTAACAGACCATATATTAGGCGGCAGATTCATTTAGAATCAGAACTTTCACCAATACCCATAGAAAAAATTCTATACTTTCAAAAACTTTGAATCAGAAGTTCGAAAATGAATTATATTCGATCCTGTAGTTTTGAATTATAAATTCATTCTATGATATTAGAATTGACAAAAAAAAATTCTTTCCATAAAGCTGAAGTCAACAATTAAAAATAGCAATTACTTTTCTTATAATATTTTTAGCGTGAATTTTTCAATGTAAGTTGTTTATCATTCATTCATGGTTTATCCGTTAGTCGAAAAGAAGGTTATCTATCAGAAGCATCTATTGATTATTATTGTGATCAACATGTTTTGTTTCCTACACAATATCTTTGTAATTTATGTAAATGTCATGATGGTCCAAAGTATGCCTTGTCTTTTTTTTTGTCTTATCAAATAAAAAGTTCTTTACTTTTTTTTTTAAAAATATATATAGATGGTTTATTATTAAAGATAGTTATATAGTTGATATACGACCCGATACACACGAAGTATGTTTTCCTATGTTAGTTGATCGTGGTTTTCAAGTTTCAACTGTTAATGATAATAATATTAAAATAAGCAATTTACAACGTACATTAGTTATTAAATGTCGAACAACATATGATTGTAATGAATGGACACAAGATTTATTAAATTTAATTGAACAAGCAAATGATTTTGTCAGTACAAAACAAAGTCGATTTAATTCATATGCATCTGTTCGAGAAAATCAATTAGCTTATTGGTAAAAAAAATAAAATAAAATAAAATAATTTTGTATTAAACAAAAATCGATATGTTTAATATAGGTTTATTAATGGTAAATCATATATGAAAGCTGTTGCTAAAGCACTTTTAACAGCTAAAGACGAAGTTTTTATTACTGATTGGTGGCTTTCACCTGAACTCTTATTAATTAGACCAACAGATGATGAAACATATCGACTTGATAATATATTAGGAAGAATAGCTGTAAGAATTTGAAATTAATATTTTATTATTCATATTTCTTTTGTAAATTATAGGATGCAGGAGTTCGTGTTTATGTCATGCTTTTTAAAGAAATACCATTTGCTGTAGCTTTAAATAGTTTATATACAAAAAAGACATTAGTTTCTAAAAGTACAAAAGGATTTATTAAAGTTAGTTTAATGTTTTTGATCAAAAAAAAAAAAATAATTCATTTACTTTAATTTCTAAGGTTATTCGACATCCAGATCGTAATACAACGGATGGAGTACTTTTATGGTCTCATCATGAAAAAATGGTTGTTATTGATCAAAAGATTGCTTTTGTCGGCGGAATTGATTTATGTTATGGACGTTGGGATGATGAATATATGCGGTAAGTTACTGTCTTATAGTAGATTTTTACATACATCATGCATTTATTTTTAACAACAAGAAAAAAAACATACATATGAAAGTTTTACATAATGTATAATGTTGGTATAAAATATTGAATAATGAGTTATCGACACAATATTTATTGAGATACTGATTACATTGTCATCGGTATTTTACTATAGTACTAGATCAGTATTCCCTACAAAAGTCAAACATAAACTCTATCAAAACTATGCCCTTTCTAACTATATCGTTATATTCCGATGTTTCACTAACACTGGTACTAATCCCGGATTTTTTAAAAAGTATTAACCACCATTTTTTTGAATAACTTTTGGTCACTTTTGAGCAATCGAGCTGCGGTTTTCATCCTTCCATAGAACAAAGCGGGGAACATTTTACCTATATAAGATTCATTGGGATTGGGACTGGAGACTGTCGCATTCCTAAGATCTTCATAGTCATTTTGAATTAAACTATCTCAGATTGTAGCCCATACATTGTTCTATATAGAATATAATTTTCAAAATTTTCTATTGCATCCTTGAAGAATGAGACGTTCTATACTGAACTACTCAGAAACACCTCTATACATAGAATAAATGTAAATCACTCATAGATATTCAACTTTTTTGACTAGCGATATTTTTCCTCTTTGGAAAACTTGTTGAAAGATAGTCATGCATGCGCTCGTCATAGCCTGCAGGTTCGGCAATAGTCAATCAAAGAATACATTCGCTTTCTTCTTATAGTATCGGACTAAAACAAGCTGATCAAATAAACAAGAATAGAAAACATTGACGATTATAGTCAAGTATCATCTATGTTTTCAACATTATTGTCTTCATGCTCATCTCCATCTTATCCTTGGTATTCATCTTGATTAGTGCATAGATAGTAAAGAACAGCAATGTCCGAGGTGATGCTACAAACAAGACAATAGCAAATCATATTTCACTATTACTGTACATCCTGATTAATACATTAAGTTTTCTTTTAGTCCAATGCTACAAGAAGAAAGCGAATGTATTCTTTGGTTGACTATTGCTGAACCTAGAGGCCATGACGAGCATATGCGTGACTATCTTTCGACAAGTTTTCCAAATAGGACAAATGTCGCTAGTCAAAAAAGTTGAATATCTATGAATGATTCACATTTATTCCGTATATAGAGATGTTTCTGAGTAGTTCAGTATATAACGTCATATTCTTTGAGGATGCAATAGACAATTCTGAAAATTATATTCTATATAGAACCATGTATGGGCTACAATCTGAGATAATTTAATTCGAAATGACTATGAAGATCTTAGGAATGTGACATCGAATAAGTTTCTAATCCCGCTCCAATAAATCTTATATAGGTAAATGTCCCCCGCCTTGCTCTATCAAACAGTGAAAACCGCAGTTCGATAGCTCAAAATGACCAAAAGTTGATATTGGTAGTCAGTAGACTGTGTTTAATAAATTATAAAACTTTTTTTTTTCTAAAAAATATTATACAAACTTCCCGATAGTATGATTTTAATTTATCTAATATGAAAATTGTATTGTTTATTCTGATTAGTAAAATTAGTAATTATTGAATAATTATTACACAATAAACTCATGAACTTCTATCTACAAATCATCAACTATAGTTTTTAAGAAAAAATAAATCATTGAAAACACTATCTAAATATTTCTCTTCATTCTCAATGAAATGATATTCTAACGAGTCATTATTTATAATTAAGATTATGAATGTTTGGCGAAGTTATTAATAGAAATTTTACTTTGCAAATTATTTAAATGTAATGTAATTCGATATGAATTAACATAACTAAGGAACGTCTATTTTGTTGAACTGAGTATTAAGTTACGAGTTTTCGCTTTTTTTTTTATTGTCAGTCTTGTGGATTTGGGTAAGAAAAATGATACAACATTGAAATCGCCATTTGATATAGCTGCAGAAAAAGCAGCATCGGGTGGTAAAGAAACAGTAGAAGCAGCACAAATAACTACTACGCAAATGGCTGAACAAGCTGGTGAAATACCTATTAAAGTAAGAAAACTAAAACGAGAAATAAGATAATAAAATTTTTTGTATTTATTGTTTTTGTGAAACAGAAACAAGAGATAAAATTTTTCATTTCTTTATCTTCACAATAAAATCTATTTCAAAAAATGATAAGATCTCTTAAGATGATAGTACAGATGAAAATTCATCGAGATTGTTTTTTTTTTTCAAAATTAAACTACTAACGAGAGAGCCTATAAAAAGCTACATGAAACTTGACGCGGTTTGACAAAATTTTTACTGCAAAAACTTAAAGTTTGAAGAGAAAAAGAATACTTAACTACATTCATGAAAAAAGTTAACTTTAAGTTTTTGCAGTAGAAATTTTGTCAAACCACAAAGCTTCATGTAGCTTTTTATGAGCTCTCTCTCTCTCTCTCCCTAGTAGTTTAATTTTGTTGTCGGAAAAGTGAATACTTTTGTATGAAAAACAGAAGAATCCTAAAAAGCGTGTCATAATTCAAGATGATAGACAAAATTCCTGATTTTTATATAGAAAATAATATGAAGCGAGGACTGCCTAGTGATGAAGAAAAGAAAAATTTTTATCTCTTGTTTCTGTTTCACAAATCAATAAATACGAAAAAAATACCAAGGGTCTTCGAATACTTTTTTCTTTGATTGTATATTTAATATTTATGAATCTATTCTAGAGTATTAAGTGTCTGAGAGCAGCATTCAATCCTCTAAATGAGGTAAATGAAGATGTCAAGCTTCCTGCTTCAACTAATGCAAATGAAACAACATATGATATGAAATTAATAGCTGGAAATTGTAAATAATTTTATTGTGTTTTTTCACAAATTATTCACTCTTCTTGTTTTTTTATTTCATTATCAAGGGATCCAATCAACGTTGACAAGTAAGAATAAATTTCATTTCTTATTCATGAGAAAGGAAAATTCGGGAGATAATAATATTTACATGTCAGGGAAAGATCATCTATATATATATAATGTTAAGTGTGTGTGTCTGTGTTTTTCTCTGCCGGGTCAAAAAGCAAACGTTAAAGGTCGAAGATTCTAGCATTTTGTCTGTTACTGGATGTAAAGCTAAACATCTGAAGTCTTACGCTGAATGAGGACAAAGCCGTGAAGTATACACGGGCTCTCGCTAGTTCTAAATAAAGCTAACTGTTTCGTATGTGTAGGGATGAGTGTATGACATTATACATAAGATTGATGAATTTATTTTCGATTGATTTCATTTGTTTGTTATGATCTATTTCTAATTGTAAAATAAAATAACAAATTTGTTCGTTCTTACATAACCTGAATTTAATATGTATTATTCCTTCTAATATCTTTGATTATTATTTTACAAAATTCTCACCATTTAAATAGAAGCCAGTGAAAATAATAGTGATATTAAATCAGACAGTGGTAATGATAAATATTCTACATCTTTAATAAATTCACTACTAATCAACAATAAAATAGAAGATACTGTATTGATATTATTGGAAAATTAATATTGCTAGCATTGAATCTATATTTACTAGAATACTCGTATTTTTGCTATCGTTATCATCGCACATAATCATGCTCAATATTGCTCTTGCAATGCTTCTAACGAATATCATTTCGTAGATTTTACATTTAATCGGAAATCTTTTCTTCTATTTTTCATTTCAAAGCTTTTATTATTTTTTTTTACTATAATTCTAATTAATATAGGAGAAAACAATCTGAATTTTAAAGATACACAAGTAACAAATGATGGAAAAACAATTCGACAACTTACTCCGGGATTACAAAGTTTAGTTCAAGTAAATAATCAAATAAATAATTTGTGTGTAAAAAGGGTCTTTGCATAACATGTTTGATCAATTACTTCTAATATATCATTAGAGATAATATTAAATGATCAAATAGAATGAGTATTTCACACTCTTTTTTAATTAATCTTTTTAGATTTTTTTTTTCTGGAGTCAGTACCCTCGGCCCCTCCCCATCGAAAATCGACCTTGAGTTAAGTTCATTCAAATCGTATGAAATTTTCAGGATATGTCGAGAGTCTATATTAAAATTCTCTATGCATTCTCATTTCATAAATTTTATAGTTTGAAAGAACATATCATACTACACCGTCTGGCAAACGTCTTACTTTTATCTTTCGAAAAACTCAGAAAAATAATGATGTATTTATAGAAGTACTTTTTTGTAACATAATAACAAAAAAAGCTTAATACAGAGAATGGACTCTGTTCGTCATTGCAGTTCGATATCTACTTACAAACAAAACAAAAGTAATGAACTACAACGAAGCTTCTTCGCGAAGATCACACAAAAGCATGGAGTGTATTTTTCACGTAGAAGATGATGAGAGTCATCAAAGATTTTTCAAAAACAAGATACTAAATAAAAATCCATATCAATTGTAAATATCAGACCTCGAACTCTTTTATCTTAATTTTGATTTTTTTGATGACTACTATCCATTTAAAAATACAATGAATTCGATTGTAAGTTGAATAACTCGAGAACTCAAGCAGCTAGAGACTTGTGCTTTTCAACATTCAAAAAAGAATAATAAATTCTGATTCGAATTGATTACTTTTTAATTCTATTCAATTGTTTTGAATTAGTCGAAAATAGACTTGGCATGTTATAGAAAGATTTTTTTTTGTTTAAAGTAATCTAAATATTTGGTTTATTTAGACAATAAGAAAAGATGATGAAGATTCTGATGATGAAAAAATTCTCGAAGAACAACAATCAATTACTACTTCAACACCTGATATTGATATAAAGCATCGATATTTTATTGGAAAAGATTATTCAAATGCATATGAAAAAGATTTTAAAGAACTTCACGACTACAGAACAGGTAATTAGTCATTTTTTGTTTTTCATTTATGTCAAATCTTCTAATATAAACTGTACTATAGATTATATTACACGAACATTAGTACCACGTATGCCATGGCATGATGAAGCATTAGTTGTATTTGGTCAAACAGCTCGAGATGTTGCAAGACATTTCATTCAACGATGGAATATTCATAAAGTTAGCTAAAAAAATTGATTTACTTGATTTTCATCATTGAAGACTGACTATCGAATCAGATAGAATCCATTCTATATGTTGAATTTTTATTATAATTAATTAGTTTATTATCAAAACAAGTGATTATCATCTGAGTTGATAACTAATGTCCATTTCAAAAAAGACAAAAAAGACGACTGGATATTTTTTTTTTTTTTTTGAAATGGACATTAAGTCAGTTCTAAATCTATTGCTTGATCAAAAAGTTGTTAGCTCAATCCTTATGAGATGAAAATGTAAAACACGATGTAGGTATTGTTACTAATTACGCGAATATTATTTTCTTAGATATACTTTGGAAATTATTTCTTCATCATTTACGGAAATTCTCTAGAACGGCAATACGAAAGCAGTGGTTATATTGTCATAAGATTCTAGTGATATGTAATTGCTGAACATGTATTCAAAGGTCTGTGAGCAGCGGAGGATTCAAATTTCTACCCTATGTACCCAGGTGAATGAATCCGATACCGGATCTGATCGGATCCGACTATCCGACAAAATCCTATGGAATTCCGGGAAACGGATCGACTAACGGATCTGACGGACGAAACCTATTTTCTTAATTACGTGCTAATTAGCATTTTAACCCAATACTAGAGACCAGTCATATTTATACGATGAATTACTATCGGAATCCGATAGTAGGATCCTATAATGTCTAGACACTAAGGTTCCGTTAGTAGAATCGTCTCTCGGATTCCTATAGGATTTCGTCGGATTTATAGAAATTCCAATAAAATCCGATCGAATCCGATAGGAATCCGATCGGATCCGATTGTTGAAATGATTCTCCGGGGTACTTCAACACTCTTTTTAGATCGTGTTTTATAATACAGATAGGTTTCATGCGACGATCCGTCCTAGCATCGGTCTTCACTCAGGAGGCTTCTGGCAGTTATATAGTCACTGGTGTCCTGAGTCGGAGTTTCCATCTAATCTTGAACATTTTCCTTTTCCCCCCGGATAAATTCTCGCGTTCTATTCGTTTTTTTGACCACCGATTCTCAAGAAAATTGCTTGACTCTCTACGTCCAAATCTGACGAACATTTTCTTGAATGTGCGAACGATAGTTTAGATGAGACTAGAAATGAAATGAGCATGCAGATCTGGCATAAACATTCACCTACATTCTTGTCATCTGTTGGTAACCCATCTGGATGTGATTATTAACTCAAATAGTAATCAATCGCTTTGCTAATATAACTAATCGATTATGGATTTATTTGTTGAAAATGAAAGTTATCAGAAAAATGAAGAAAAAACTTTTTTTGAAATTTTAATTTTGAATTTCTTTTGTTAAGTGTGAAAAATATCTGAAAAATGATTTATATCCATATCTATTACCTAAGTCATATGATGATGTTGAAGATTTAACTATTGAAAATTGGAGAGATTTTCTTGAAAGTGAACCATTTCGTGTAAATGCTCAGGTAAGTTATTATTATTATTATTTTTTTTTTTTTGAAAATTATTTTCACTTGAATTTTATATTTAGTGTGTTCGTTCCGTTGGACCATGGTCAGCAAGAACGAAAACAATAGAATCATCGATTCAAAATGCTTATATACAAATGATTGATGCTGCTAAACATTATATATATATTGAAGTAGAGTAATTTTTCAAAAAAAAAAAATATAATTTTCGATTATTTTTTTGTATTTAGAATCAATTCTTTGTTTCTATTGCTCACGATTCAGTAGTTCGAAATCAATTAGGTGATGTTCTTTTTCGACGTATAGAACGAGCACATAAGTATGAAGTATTTTATTATTATTATATAACATCTTTAACCGTTTCTTTTATTGATTAGAAATAATGAAAAATTTCGTATTTATATTGTTCTTCCTCTTTTACCTGGTTTTGATAGTATGAATACCGTACAAGCTGTACTATATTTTATTATGCGTTCAATTGTTAAGGGTGATAATTCATTATTTAAACGACTTGAAAATGCAGGTAAATCAAATATTTTGCTCATAGTTTTCTTGTCGTTTAATAATAGATATAAAAATCGAATAGATTAGCAGTTTGTCAATCTCATATAATGATTTACAACAGTAAATAGAGCACAGATGTCTATCTTTGTTTGAACATCAAAGATAATAGAGTTTATGTTAGTGTACATATTTAGTGTTATACGGAAAAGAAATTTTTAGAACTACATAGAATTAAAGACGAAGATCGGAAATGTTCAGGATCAGCTTTTGTCGGACGTTGTACTATGTTTGAGAAAAATTTTCTAATATTATCTTACTCATTCTACACTTCCTCATTCTTACGGAACGTGTACAAGTATTCCTTGTGGTGAAATTTTCGTGCAAAAAATCGTCTAATCCATATGAAAATACGAAATGGAGAATCAAAGGGGAAAAAGCATACTTCTGTACTTCTTGGTCTTCTTCGTACTTCTCTGTACTTCTTTGTACTTCTTCATACTTCTTCGTACTTCTCCGTACTTCTTCATACTTCTCCGTACTTCTTCGTACTTCTTCATACTTCTTCGTACTTCTTCATACTTCTTCATACTTCTTCGTACTTCTCCGTACTTCTTCGTACTTCTCCGTACATCTCTGTACTTCTTCATACTTCTCCGTACTTCGTCGTACTTCTCTATACTTCTTCATACTTCTAACGAGGGAGGGTCACCAACTGATCAATCGCTTTTGAGTCAGAACTATGTGCATCATATAGGTCCTAATGAGCTATGAATACCATAAAAAGAGTTCGGACCGCTAGCTTATTACTGCCGAGATACTGCATTTTTACGATATTGTTAAGCAGAATACCGTAGTCCTCCTCAGGAACACCAGCAAAACTGAGTTTTGAATTTTGACTTGAAATGTGGCACAGAAACAGATCTCAATGAGAATACTTTATTGTAAAAGTTTCAGATCCTTCGATTGTTCCTATTCTGAAATAAGAACATCAGAACCTGTCGGGGGTATTCGAGCAGTGTAAAAACACCCTTTTTAGCCGTATCTTAGGATAGGAACAACCAAAAGACCTGAAACTTTCACAATAAACTACTCTCACTGAGGCCTGTTTCTGTGCAAAGTTTCAAGTCAAAACTCGAAACTCAGTTCTTCTGGTTCCTGAGGGGACCACGACATTGTGCTTGTTTAAAGATACCACAAACATGCAGTATTTCGACAATAATAAGCTAGCGGCCAGAACTCTTTTCAGGGTATTCATAGCTCATTAGGTCCTATATGATGCACATAGTTCCGACTCAAAAGCGATTGATCAGTTGGTGACCCTCCCTCGTAAGTACTTCTCCATACTTCTCCGTACTCTTTCATACTCTCCCACACTTATAAATACCTTTTTTTAATACCTGTAGGTACTTTTTCATGGTTCTCGACATGCATATTTGCTTTTTGGAGTTTTAGGTATCTATTTTACTGATATAGTTAAGAGATATTATGTTAGTTTTTTCTTTGTAATATAGATTTTTATTTAAAAAAATTAATAAATGAATAATGAAAAGTAAGACTCATAGTAGAAAACAAAGTATCAGCCCTCTTTTTACCAACATTTTCTCTACTAACATTTTTAAAGAGAAACAATCCAGGAGGAAAGAGCAAAAATGCCGTACTTTCACGTACTTCCTGTACTTCTGGACTAGGCCGTAACTGTGCATCAGATTTTTTTTAGCTATTTGAAGCCTACTATCCGCCTGTATTACGGCATATTAGCCGAACTGCAACCCAGGTAAGTTTATCTGACCAAAAGGCCCAAATACTTCATGATACTTCTACTTTGGAAGTGTCATGAAGTATTCGGGCTTTTTGGTCAGATAGACTAACGTAGGTTGCACTTCGGTTAATACACCGTAGTACAGGTCAATAGTAGACTTAAAGTAGCTAAAGAAATCTGATGCAAAGTTACGGAATAATCTGGAAGTACAGGAAGTACGTAAAAGTACGGCATTTTTGCTTCTTCCTCCTTGGAAACAATTCATGTTATACCAACAGTCCTTTATCAAATGATCGTCTTTCTCGTGTTATTGAAACAAGCAGAAATTACTAAAACTGGTGCTGCTCACTGTCTTATGTTTTTCTTTATTTTTGCTTTTTTAATAAATATCCGGAGCCAACAAAAACTGTCTTGTTTTCCTTTAAAACATCTTTGTACTTCTTGGTACTTCTCGGTACTTCTCGGTACTTCTTGGTACTTCTTGGTACTTCTTGGTACTTCTCAGTACTTCTTGGTACTTCTTGGTACTTTTCGGTACTTCTTGGTACTTCTTGGTACCTCTCGGTACTTCTTGGTACTTCTCAGTAATTCTTGGTACTTCTTGGTACTTCTCGGCACTTCTTGGTACTTCTCGGTACTTCTCAGTACTTCTTGGTACTTCTTGGTACTTCTCGGTACTTCTGTACTTCTTTGTACTTCAGAAGTACAGAAGTATGCTTTTTACCCCTTGTGGAGAATGGTTTCTGATATACGCAAAGATATTCAATAATATCTACTCACGAGGGAAGATCTTCAACTGTCCAATTCCCTTTTGAGTTCGGACTTTGTGCAAAAGATAGACCTCAGTGAGATATGAAAAACCCCAAAAGATTAAATGCCCTTAGGCCTTCTGTCCAAACTTATAGGCATTTTACTGGAATTTTAGCGTATGACATGGTATATACCAATAAATCAAATGACAGTATTTCGACCTGAGATTTTGCCCACAGACAAGTCTATTTGTGAGTGGAATATCCTGAAAATTTCAGCTGAAAATGATATTTCCTTCTAGAGATATTTAAGTCCTAAAACTGACTCATATACTACAAAAAATGCTAGAATTTTCCGTTGTTGGGGACTTAAATATCTCTAGAAGGAAATATCATTTTCAGCTGAAATTTTCAGGATATTCCACTCACAAATAGACTTGTCTGTGGGCAAAATTTCAAGTCGAAATACTGTTATTCGATTTATTGGTATATACCATGTCATAGGCTAAAATTCCAGTAAAATGCCCATA